ACTCACCTCAGCCTCCCAAAGGCGCAGGATGACAGGCTGAGCCACCGAGCCCGGCTGCCTATTTTAATTTTTAATAGACTATTTTAATTGTTATTTTATACTTTTATTTTCAGATTTTCTACAATTAACCCTACCCTCATTGTGGTAGGGAGGAATGCTATTTTCTTTTCTTTCTTTTTTCTTTTTTAGAGACAAGTTCTCACCAAATCACCCAGGCTGATCCCGAACCCCTGAGCTTAGGTAATCCTCTCACCTTGGCCTCCCACAGTGCTGGAATCGTAGGTTTGAGCCACCGTCAGGAATGCTATTTTAAAAACCTCTTACCTGGCTTCCATCCCATATGCCCAAGGCCCTATAGCCTGCTGGCCACCTGTAAGAGTTATCCCCAGGCCCCCTAAAGAGCTATATCCGAGATATTTCACTTCAAACTTCCCAAGGATTTGTCCCAGCTGGAATCACAAACATCCCATGTTGGTCCTGGCAGGAATGCTGGAGGTTCTCTAGTACAGCTCTGTCCACTGGAACGTTCTGTTGTCCAGTGTGGTGGCCAGGACTGCTGAACACTTAAAATGCAGCTGGTGTGACTGAGAAACTGGATTTAAAATTAGTTCCATTTTGACTGAAGCTTAGGTAGCCTTACTGGGTAGTGTGGACCTGGTACCTCTCATTTCATAGATTTAACTGAGATATGAATCCGGGTCAGGTCAGGCCCAAGCCATCCACGTGCTCTGTAAGACCTTGCTTTGCTGGCATGAAAAGAAAATATCACCTGGGGACACTATAAAGTGTAATTGGTGGGAATCGGTTGGGTTCGGGTCCAAATCCCAGTTTGATGATGAATTAGCTTAGGCAAGTCACTTGAGCTGTCTAAGCCTCAGTTTTTCTACCTGGGAAATAGAATAGATGCCAGCTTAGGAGTGGCTGTGAGGTTCCTTACCACAGTCATTGTTTTTGGGCTCCTAGGTCTATATGAACTCAATCTCATCACTGATGGCCCTGCCACCACGGGAGCAGAAGTGACCATCTCAGCCAGCCTGGTAGCCAAGGACAACAGCAGCCTGGCCCTGCCTGCCGACGGCCACCTTTACCGCTTTCACTGGGTCCATACCCCACTCGTGCTCGTTGGCAAGATGGACGTGAATCTCAGCTCGACCATCCACGTGATTGGCAATGAGCCCGGCGACCACCCGGTTTCCGTCTGGGTCACTGCTGCTGACTGCTGGATGTGCCAGCCTGTGGCCAGGAGCTTTGTGGTCCTCCCCATCACAGGTGAGGCTGTCTCCTGCTTGCTGATTTGCCTCCAAACTCTTGGAGCCGAGAAAAGCATCCAGCCTTGCTACGAGTCACATAAGTGTACATTAGATTCACGGGTTTCTTCTCTGTTGTCAGTCTAATTAAAAAGGATCAGAAAATGGTAATATCCTCTCAGCAGGTGTAGTGCAGAAATGGACACTTAAAGCACCCTACTGGGGGAATATACATGAATACCTTTGAGGAGAAACTGGTCAATATGTATTTGGTGGTTATACGTTCTTTTAGTGTTTGGGCCAATCATTTCTTCACTGGTTCTTCCTCCCTCTCTCTCTCCCTGTCTCTCCCTCATTCCCAATCTCTCTGTCTCTCTTTCCCTCCTCCCTTCCTCTCCTTCTCTCTCTTTCTCCTTTTCTTTCTCCCTTTCTTCCTCCCATCTTATTCTAAGGGGTCCCTTGTTTCTCACCCTTTTGGAACTCATGTCTAATAAGTAATTTATCTTCAGGAAATAAAATCTTCCATTTAGATAATACTTTATGCATTAAGATGCTCTTACCGTGTTGTTTATAATAGCAAAAGAAAATATAAATGAGTTAGCAGACTGGTTAAATATATTGAAATAATACAACAATTAGCAGTAACCCTTACGATGAGCTTGTAACATCAAGGGTAAATACTCATGATTGTGAAATTACCTATAAAAAAAGCAAAGCACAAAACTGCCTAGCTAACATGATAAACTGTATTTAATATATGTATACATTAAGCATACTCAAATATTTTGTTATATTTCAAAATGGCAACCATGGTAGTGTTTGAATGATAGGTAGCTTCTTTTCTTTTTATTCTACTTTTGAGCATTTTCCAAATGAGCTCTATTGAGCATGCCTTATTTTCTGCTTTTGTGGTGAAAAAAAAAATCAGCATTTAATTCAAAGTATATATATAAAAGACAGGGTTGTTGGCCAGACTGGTCTCAAACTCCTGGCCTCAAGCAATCCTCCCATCTCAGCCTACCAAAGTGCTGGGATTACACCTGGCCAAACTTTTTTTTTTTTTTTTTTTTTTTACACAAGATCACTCTGTCTCCAGGCTGGAATGCAGTGGCACAATTATAGCTCACTGCTGCCTCAACCTTCTGGGCTCAGGCGATCCTCCTGTCTTAGCCTCCCGAGTGGCTGGACACACAGGCACACACCACCAAGTCTAGCTAATTAAAAAAATTTTTTTTTAGAGACTGGGTCTCACTATGTTGTCTAGGCTGGTCTCAAACTCCTGGTCACAAATATATATATATATATATGTTCATTTTTTTTTCCTTTTTAGAGAAAGAGACACAAGACACTGGCCTGATCCAGCCCAGGATGCTGAGTGTAGAGATGCACTCAGTAAAACTGCCAATTTTTCTAGGCTCATCAAACATTTTGAAACATTTCCCCAAATTTCTTTCAAAGCCTGTGAATTTCCTTCTGGTCCTGGGTATCTTTTGTACCAGAAAGCTCTGGGTCATGGCGAAAGGGGAACAGGAGGGAAAGCGATGCCTGGAGCACACACCTGAAATCCTCAGCAGTATCCATGCAAGAGGGGGGAGTCTCCTCTGAGTCTGGGGACTCTTCAGGGGATCCCCTCTCCTGGCCCAGCTCTGACAGCCAGAAGGTCTGGGTGGGGGAGGGGTGGCTCTATCCTCCCTGGACCTTCACAATTCACCCTCCCATGTCTCTCTCAGATTTCCTTGTAGGGAGCCTCGTGGTCACCCAGAACACCTCCCTGCCCTGGCCCAGCTCCTACCTCACCAAGACGGTCCTTAAAGTCTCTTTCCTCCTCCATGATCCGAGCAACTTCTTCAAGACGGCCTCCTTTCTCTACAACTGGGACTTCGGAGACGGGTACGTCCTTATTCGCCTTCATGCCCCCAAGTCGCGGCCGGTGGCCTGTTTCCCACACACCGTGCCGGGTGCTTGTACCTCTGCAGGGTCCTCACTCACTTTCTCTACTTCTAAACATTCCTTGAGCACCTGCCCTCTGCCAGGCCTGGGGACCCCCGGCGAATTAGTCACTGGCCCTGCCTTCGAGGTGTTGTAACCTGTTAGGGGAGGCCATTGGCACCCAAAACAACCCTTTAGGGAAAGCCAGAGTAGGTGGGATTTTCCCCATTCGACCTTGAAGGGCACCCAGCAGGCTGATGGTAGAAGCGAGGTAGAACCCAGGTGCTCCAGCTACATCCTTTTCCCTCCTCCTTCCTAAACAAGCCAGACTGGAGGAGGCAGGCTGGGAAGTGGGCGGTGGGCACTGAGCCCAGGACAGACACCCTGAGCTCCTGAGAGGACGCTGCTGTCCACAGTGAAGCTTGGTGGGGAGCCCTCACTCCACTCGCTGCCCCCAGACCGCCAGTGGAAGCTCCCTGGTGCCGAGCCTGTGAGTCCCATGGGTGGGGTGGGTGAGGAGTGACACATCTGATGATGACTGACCCTTGATGAGCTTGGCAGACCCGCCCTCCGAGGATCAGCTGCACTCTCTGCAGGGCTGAGAAACCTCTGATCTTAACAAAGGTCAAGACTGGGAAGGCAGAAAAATATGGGATGGGGTGGAAAAGAATTAAGAGAGGCCTGTTGGGTCAGACTCTACCCCATTTGCTTCAGGGAGAGATGTGCCAGAAAACTCCAGCAATCCTCCCATCTCAGTCTCCCAAAGTGCTGGGATTACACCTGATCAAACTTTTTTTTTTTCTCTCTTTGAGACAAGATTGCTCTGTCTCCAGGCTGGAGTGCAGTGGCACAATTATAACTCGGTGCAAGCCGGGCTCGGTGGCTCAGCCTGTAATCCCGCGCCTTTGGGAGGCTGAGGTGAGTGGATTGCCTGAGCCTACGGGTTTGAGACCCGCCTGGGCAACTTGGCGAGACCTCATCTCTACAATAAATCAAAAATGAGCCGGGCGTGGTAGTGCGTGCCTGTAGTTCCAGCTACTTGGAAGGCTGAGGCGGAAGGATCGCGGAGCCCGGCAGGTCGAGGCTGCGGTGGCCGGGAGCAGCCACTGCACTCCAGTCTGGGCGACAGAGTGAGACTCCAACTCAAAAAAAAAAAAAAAGCCAAAAAACTCAGTGCAGCCTCAACCTTCTGGCTCAGGCGACAGGGTTGTCTCTCCTTTTTTTTTTTTTTTTAGAAAGCAGGATTTATTAAGAGGACAGAAAAGCTCCCACAGTGGGAGGGAACCCGAAGGGGTTGCCCATCTCTCCTTTCAGAGAGCCCCCTAGCAGCAGAGAGCGCCTCACCCATGTGGGTGTCACATGAGCTCATGTAAGTCTCTCCATCATACTGAGAGGTAGTTACTGTTGCACCCTCGTTACAGGTGAGGAAATAGAGGCACAGAGCAGGTGAGTACCTTAGCTATCATTACCCTCTTCTGAAAAATGGAAATATATACCTCAAGAGTTTAGGGTAGAATTGACATTCAAAAACAAGGTTGCCAGCTCGAAAGTCCATGCTCCCACCACCATACCCTACTGCCTCTCCACAAAATGGATGCCAGGAAATACCTTGGTGTTCTATACTGCTGTTGTAGTCCAGTGGTCTGAAAATGTTGCTGGTTTTTTTTTTGAATTGGAGTCCCACTGTCACTCAGGCTGGAGTGCAGCGGCACACTCACAGCCACCACAGCCTCGACCTGCTGGCTCAGGTGATCCTTTTGCCTCAGACTTTCTTTTTTTTTTTTGAGTTGGAGTCTCACTCTGTCGCCCAGGCTGGAGTGCAGTGGCCGCTCTCGGCCACCGCAGCCTTGACCTGCTGGACTCCGGTGATCCTTCCGCCTCGGCCTTCCGAGTAACCGGAATTACAAGCGCGCGCTACCATGCCCGGCTGATATTTTGATTTATTGTAGAGATGAGGTCTCGTCGCCCAGGCGGGTCTCGAACCCACGGGCTCAGGCAATCCACTCACCTCAGCCTCCCAAAGGCGCGGGATTACAGGCTGAGCCACCGAGCCCGACTGCCTCAGACTTTCAAGTAGCTGGAACCACAGCCATGTGCCACCATGCCTGGCTATTTTTTAAAAAAATTTATTGTAGAGGCGAGGTCTCGCCAAGTTGCCCAGGCTGATCTCGAACTCCTGGGCTCAGGCAATCCTCTTGCTTCCGCCTCCCAAAGTGTGGGATTATAGGCGTGAGCCACCGTACCTGGCAAAAACGTTTTTTAAAGGCCCAGATAACCAATATTTTAGGCCTGAGAAGTCACATGGTCTCTCTTGCAACTAATAAACTCTGCCATGTTAGCATGAGGGCAGCCACAAACAATATATAAAGAAACAAGTGTGGCTGTGTTCCAATAAAACTTTACAAAAACAAGTGGTAGAATGGATTTGATCCATGGGTTGTAGTTTACTGACTCATGTCCTAACCCTATGGTAGGCAACATGTTCTTCCATATTGTTAGTGTATTCTAAATGTTAATTTAGACAATGTATTCTAAATGTTAATTTGTTACTTATTAAAACACCTCGATAGAGCCGGGCTCGGTGGCTCAGCCTATAATCCCAGCGCTTTGGGAGGCCGAGGTGAGTGGACTGCCTGAGCCTGTGGGTTCGAGACCTGCCTGAGTAACTTGGCGAGACCTCATCTCTACAATAAATCAAAAATGAGCCAGGCGTGGTAGCGCACACCTGCTGTTCCAGCTACTCAGAAGGCTGAGGCAGAAGGATCGCCGGCGCCCAGCAGGTCGAGGCTGCGGTGGCCGGGAGCGGCCACTGCACTCCAGTCTGGGCAGCATGGTGAGACTCCAACTCAAAAAAAACAATAAACAAAACACCTCAAAAGCACAAATGATTATTTTAATAATGAGCAAATTTTCCATGTGATGTGAATTGAAAAAATTAGATTTTACTATTTATCTCCTGGATTGCCCTTTGATGTCTGTTTTCTTCTTTGTACAGAATGGAGGAAAAGCAGGCATATTTCTGACATTTCTTATTTTACATAGTAGGTTTTCTAAACCTAGACAAGAGATGGAAAGTGGGAGCAAAAGCAGTCGCTGACTGCTGAGACTTGAGGTTTTGTCTGCTTTCAAAACATCTGTAGAAAAAGGAAGAAAGAAATGTATAAGTAGATACAGATTTGCTTGTAAATGTAAAATATAAAGCAAAAATAAAATCATAGTAGCAGAAAAGCAAAATTTGAAATGGGAAGTATTCAAAGAAAAAAAGATGGGAAGTTTTCAAAGAAAAAAAGAGATTCCTTTGAATGTAAGCAGTAAATTTACAGAGAAGATATTATAGACCCGAACCTTTGGAATATTGGAGCACTCAGAATATATAAAGAAGGTCCTATTAGGGAAATTACCCAGAAAGATGGGAAAAAAGAAAAAAAAAATTATCATAGATTTTATTTATTTATTCATTTCAGTTGGAATCTCACTCCGTTGACCAGGCTGGAGTGCAGTGGCACGCTCACGGCCACCCCAGCGTTGACCTGCTGGATTCTGGTGATCCTTCTGCCTCAGCCTTCCAAGTAGCCGGAACTACAGGCGTGTGCTACCACACCCAGCTAATTTTTCATTGATTGTAGAGAGGAGGGCTCGCCAAGTTCCCCAGGCTGGTCTCGAACCCGCGGACTCAGGCAATCCACTTGCCTCGGCCTCCCAAAGTGCTGGGATTATAGGCGTGAGCCACTGTGCCTGGCCCCATAGGAGATTTTAATATTTCACACTCAGACTTTGATAGAGGACTAAAGTAATGACAGAAGATTTTCATAATTCATCAATTTGCTTGATTGATTAAATATACATATATGGAACCTTAGACCTGAAAACAAAATATTGCCTGGATATTTAATACAATTAAAAAAATCTCATTCTAGAACTTAAAATGTGAGAAGTTTCTATAACAGAGAATACTTGAGCTTCATTTTCTGACAGTGCAGACCAGAAATTCATTAAAAGATTATTTTTGTCAAAAACTAAAGCACTGTTTTTTGTTTTTTTGTTGGAGTCTTACTCTGTCGCTCAGACTGGAGTGCAGTGGCCACTCCCAGCCTCTGCAGCCTCGACCTACTGGGCTCTGGCCATCCTTCCGCCTTAGTTTTCCAAGTAGCTGGAACTACAGGTGCGTGCTACCACGCCTGGCTAATTTATTCTGATTTATTGTAGAGATGAAGTCTCGTCAAGTTGTCCAGGCAAGTCTCAAACCCGCGTGCTCAGGCAATCCACTCACCTTGGCCTCCCAAAGTGCTGGGATTACAGGCTGAGCCACCGAGCCCGGCCAGCACTAAGTGTTTTAGACTAACTGGGAAGTTAGTCACCTGCAGAGTTAGAGGGAACAGTCTCCAAGGCTGGCCTTGCTTCTGACACAGACTATGAGAGTTTGGCCACTTGTTCAAAAAACCTCATATACCAGAAAAAGTGAAGGAATTAATCAATACAAAAACATGAATTAGAAAATAGAAAAATAGGCTGGGCGCAGTGGCTCAAGCCTGTAATCCTAGCACTTTGGAAGGCCGCGTTGGGAGGACTGCTTGAACTCAGGGGTTCGAGACCAGTCTGGGCAACTTGGCGAGACCTTGTCTCTACAACAAATCAAAAAAATTAACTAGGCATGGTAGTGTGCGCCTGTAGTTCCAGCTACTTAGACGGCTGAGGCGGAGGGATCACCTGAGCCCAGCAGGTCGAGGATGTGGTGGCTGTGAGCGTGCCACTGTACTCCAACCTGGGTGACAGAGTGAGAGTGAGACTCCAACTCAAAAAGAAAAAAAAGTTATGAATTAAATGGTTTTTCTAGGAAAATGCAAATTACTAGAATTGACTTGAAAGCAGAAAATGCTGTAAAAGACTAATCTATAAAGGGCCAAAACCAGATGGTTTTACTGGCAAGTTATTTTATTCTTTCAAAGATCCCATAATTCTCCTGTTACGATATAAAGTCCTCCAGAGCATAGACCAAGATAGAAAGCTTCTCAATTCATTCTACAAAATTAACATAGCTCAAAAAAGAAAACTATATGTCATTTACATTTTAACCTAAACAATTAAAAAATTACAATTTTTGGGTGTAATAACAGCAAATTTAACACAATCCTTCATTAAAATAATAATACACTATAGCCGATGAGAGTTATGCATGTCTACAATTGTCACCATAATCTTTTTTATCTTTAGAGGGGAGTAGTCACCAGATTCTTTTAAAAATTGTTTTGTTTTACTTTTATTTTTTTGAGTTGGAGTCTCACTCTGTTGCCCAAGCTGAAGTGCAGTGGCACGCTTATGCTCACGGCCACCACAACTTTGACCTGCTGGGCTCTGGCCATCCTTCTGCCTCAGCCTTCCAAGTAGCAGGAACTATGGGCACGCACTACCATGCCCGGCTAATTTTTTTATTTATTGTAGAGATGAGGTCTCGCCAGGTTGCCCAGGCTGGTCTCGAACCCATGAGCTCAGGCAATCCTCTAACATTGGCCTCCCAAAGTGCTGGGATTACAGCCGTAAGCCACCGTGTCCGGCTACATTTATTTTCTTCCAGGATGATGTTCCAGGATAAACTTACAGGATAATATTGAAGGGCAGTGATAAGGAGTAACCTTGTTTTGTTCTGGTACCTAGTGCCGGGTGCCTCCTAGCATTTCAATGGAATGATCCCCCAAAAGTGTCCACAGGTCCCTTTTCTCACCAAGAGCTAGGAAACCCACATTTGAAGTTCCGCCACTCGGTATAATGTTAGATGCTGGTTCCAGCAACTTCTTTTTCTAGTTTGCTGAGATTATGTTGAACCTCCATTTCTGTTCATCCTAACACTTGTTTGGCATCTAAAGAGATGATCTTATAATCTTTCTCCTTCAACATAGTAAATGCTGAACTAAAATAATAGAGCTCCTAACAATGGACTGTTTTAGTCTTCTAAGATACTCCTACTGACTTCCATGCTTCTCAAACTAAATTATGCAAAGGCAGTGGGCAAGCCAAGTGCATCTTCCAGAAGTGTCATTATGATTTTTAAATGAAGAGAAACACAGAAACATTATGTGGAGAACAAAACCTGCATCTGTTTTCAATAAGAAACATACAACTTGGAAAGTCAGATTGTTGTTGGGCTGGACCCTTTCAAGAATCTGGCAGGGCTGGGCGTGGTGCAGAGATGCAACATGGGGAGACCTCGTCTCTACAGTAAACAAACAAACAAAAAAATTAGCCAGGTGTGGTGGCGTGTACTTGTAATTCCATCTAGTTGGAAGGCTGAGGAGGAAGGATTGCCTGAGCCCAGCAAGTCGAGGACGTGGTGGCTGTGAGCATGCCACTGCACTCCA